CACCAGACCGACACCCCCCACTCCTTCTAACGAACTTCTTCAAAATAGACTCGCCCAGGCCGAAAACCAACTTCTGCACATGGGCCACGAGGTTTCAATCGCACCGTATGTGCGCGCCCGCACGTGGTATTTTGTGGAAGAGCTACACTCAAGGGGGCAAAGAGCCGCATGTGGCTCGTGAGCCGCGGTTTGCCGACCACTGCTCTAGGGTTATTGTTAATTCAAACCGCTCTCTTTAAAGAAATTCAGCTTGGTGGGATTGGCGGGGGCACCTCCCTCCAACATAAAATGTGGATCATGGCTGTGATTCCATGCCCCAATGGCCACGGCTTTTTGGGCAGATCCAGGATTCTGCCCTTGGCCCTAGGGTGTTTCTCTTTGAATGTCTATAGTTTCCCCACTCTTAGCAGGTCTAAAGTGGGTCTGTTTTTCTTCTCCCTTTCCTCAGCTCCCCGCCAATTACACAAAATAAAAGCTGGCCCTGTCTCTCGATCTGCAGCCAGCTTCCAATTACACCTGAGAAGGGAAAGGACGGGAAGGGGAGGAGAGGGGAGGGAAGGGGAGGAGAGGGGAGGGGAGGGGAGGGAAGTTCATCCCTAGCATCTCCCTATTACTCAGGATTAGAGGCAGTGATTCTAACCTCACAGCATCTTGCTTCATTTTTGTTTTTTTAAATATATTTTTATTGATTTCAGGGAGGAAGGGAGAGGGAGAGAGATAGATAGAAACAACAATGATGAGAGAATTATTGATCGGCTGCCTCCTGCACACCCCCTACTGGTGATCAAGCCCACAACTTGGGCATGTGCCCTTGGCTGGAATCGAACCCAGGACCCTTCAGTCCTAGTTTGTTGCTTTGTTGTTTTGCTGCTTGTCTTGTCTGCTCTACACTGGGACTGTCTGTCTTTTTCACTGCTTGACCCAGCAACAAGCTCAGTGCCTGGCATATAGAAAGTGCTGCTTGCTCAGTGAAGAATGATTGAGATAGCAAGTGGCCCCAACATAGGTGTCCAGTGAGGATCAGTGACATCCTTGTCATCTTTCATGTTAGGGACATATATGCTTCCTTACTGCCATCGCCCCAGGGGCTGGTATGTAAGAGGTACCCAGAAAAATTGTGTGGAAGGGGTGAATAGAGCTTAGCAGCTTCTAGAGGTTTTTGGGATAGGATAAGATCCTCTCCTCAGGACCCACCACTCTCCCTTCTGAAGCCACCACTACCCCAGCCCCAGCCTCAACTGGCCCCCACAAATGCAGTAAGAGCAGGAGAAGCATAAGAACTGAAGCCAAGACTGAGACCAGTGCCAGTAGCCTGAGTTCCCTCACCCTGGCCATCAGTGTGGCTGCCCTCTGGAACACAAAGGTAGCTGGTTAGCCTGGGGATGGAAGCCCCTCAAAGCTGGACTTGCAGAAGGGACCAGGGCCAACCATATTGGGAACACACAGGACAATCTGTAAACCAAGTCCCTGGAAGTCAGTCAGGTCAGGCTGGCAAGACATCTTCCCCTCCCTCCTCCCAACCTACCTGTAGTTGCTTGGCAACCATTGTGGCTCTGGACCAGAGCAAGAGGCAACTCGGCATAACAGGAGTCCAGGCCCAGCAGACAGGACACCCGTCTCCCCAAGAGCTGCATGACCTGGGGAGGAGGAGAGAGAATGGTCCCTAGCTGCTTCTCTCGGAGGCCACCTGAACTGGTGGGACCTTGAGGCACCAGAGGTTCAGAAAACTGTAGGCAGCACCTGGGGATGAGGGGGATTTGATATGCAAAAGCAACTGCAGAAGGACCCCCACTTCAGCTGGCGATACTTCTCCAGTATCTTTCCTGATGACCCCTAGGCCTCTGCTCAATGGCTCTCTGCCATTAGGGAGGGGATTGTCCCCCGTTCCTTCAAAGTATTTAAGAAAAGTTAATTTTCCTGGCCAAAAAGAGGCAAATGACAGGCCTCCTAGACCCTCCATCACCTCCTCTATAAAGTGGGCCAATGTTGAGCCCCTGGGAAGATCCTCCAGCAGAGAAGTAAGAATTACTCAGCCTCAGGAGGAGTTCGCTCCAAAGGGAGCAGCTGGTATTTCATCTCACAGACCCACTGCCCACCCAGCTCTGCAGTGGGGCCGCCTGTGTATACCCACTAGGTGCTTTTCACAGGGGCCCTGCCCACCACCCTTGTACTGCAGCCTACCCTGCAGGCCCTGGGGCGTAATCAGTCCCCGAGTTTGGCTCAGCTCCAGGCTGGAGACACCCCATCGGCTTCCATTGTCAGAACTGGTGACCAGGAAGCAGGAGGATGCTTTTGTCACCGCAGCTGCACTCATTTCACACCTGATGAGGAAGAAGGTCTCTGTACAACGGAAGAGGCCTCTCCTCCCCCGGTTGAGCCTTGACCTGAACGTGTGGTCCTCCTCACATTCAGCAGCTGTGGTCCTTAGAACTGGGGGTTTTCATTCAGGGCTTCCGAACATCTTGTCTCCTGCCCAGACACCTGGGTCCTGAGCCAAGTCCAAGAACGCGCAAATCCCTGTCTGATAGGCTTTCTGGGTCCTCAGCTTCTCCGCCCTCCTGTGAAGGCTGCGCTGGAACAAACTGAGAGTGGGCGGGAAGAGGGATCGCTCGCCCGGGACCTGGGCTAAGTCTGGAAAACTACACGTCTTGGCCGCTGCCCACGAGCGGGGAAGGCAGGGGCAGTGGGCCGGAGGCTGGCCCGGGCTCGCCACGCCGCGTCCCCACGCCCGCAGCCACGCGGGAACCGCGGCGGGGCCCAGCCTCACCCACCCGGGACTGCGGCACCGGGGATGGGACGGGGCAGGGCTGTAGGCTCCGCCCTGAGGTGTAAGCCCCGCCCAGAAAGCTCTGCCCCTAGTCCAGCGCCTTCATCAAGGCCCGCCCCACGCCAAGCCCCAACCAGCCAGCTTCGACTCAGCTAGGGCAGGGGCGAGGAGCTGCCCGACCACGGGCTCCCGAGGAGCAGGAGAAATGAAAAAGGGGTGCAGGCTGTTATAAATACTCAGAGTGGTCTACAGCTAATAATGCCGGAAACTAAAAGTTAAAAGCAGCCGGGCCTTGTGGCTCAGTGGTTAAGCATCGACCCATGCACCAAGAGGTCATCGGGTTGATTCCCTGTCAGGGCACATGCCCGGATTGCGGGTTTGATCCCTGGCAGGGGGCATTCAGGAGGCAGCCAATTCATGTTTCTCTCTCATGTTGATGTTTCTCTCTCATTGATGTTTCTATTTCTTTTTCTCTCTAAAATCAATAAAAACATTTTTTAAAAAGTTAAAAGCGATCAGTTGTGAGTGCTCTGCAGAGCTCCCTTTCCCCTACCTGCACCCCATCTTCCCTCCCCCACCCGCATCCCTATTTCAGCTGGGCCATAGAACCCAGGGAAAGAAGAGATGCCTACTGAGAAGGCTAAAGGCTAATGCTCTCTATAATATATTAACCTCTATTTGTAAAAACTGCTGTTTGAATTTTCCACTTTGCATAAATAGTCTTGTTCTATGAATTCAACTGTCTGACCTTGCAAGCCGCTCTGCTGCTGTTTCTACCCACCCCCATACCAGGTGCCTGTTAGTTATCTACTAAGTTGCGCTGTGCTCAAGATTACAAGCTGCCTGCAAAAATAACTTACATAGAGCTCTTTGTAAAGTCTGCAGAAGGTCTGGAAAAACTCTTATTTGGGAGACAAAGGGCTGGAAAGATATAAAAAGGTAAAGCTTCCTCCATGTTTTTGGCTCAGGCATAGTAAAGCAGTGTAACTCCATTTCTTAGGCATTGCTTGGTTTTCCCGGTCTTCTGTAACACTGCTAGTGTGGCGTTTACTCCTGGTGGTGTGGCTACATGGGGTCCTGACTTTTCTTCCAAAACCAGAACACCTATTTGTTGTAGTTAATAGTTTTATTGAGATTATTTTCAAGAATATTCGATAAAATTCACATATGTATGTTGCACCATTGCAAGTGGCCCATTCTGTAATGTTTACTGTATTCTCAGCGTCGCTGGATGCTCACCACTATCTAATTTCAGAACAAACAAAGAAAACAACACACCACCAACAACCCGTTGGCAGTCACTCAGTCTCCCCTCCTCCCAGCCCATGGCAACCACTAATTTTACTTTCTGTTTCTATAGATTTTCCTGTTCTCAACACCAGATCATTTCTGTGACATAAGTCACCCCATTGTGTGGAAGGAGAGAAAAGCCATGTGAAGTCAGGGTCCCAAGAGAACAGGTGGCTTGGGAGTGGGGAGCAGAGGTGAAGTCTGTTTCCTGGGCTCTAGGCAGCCTGACACCTGTCCACAAGAAGCCACCCAGGTGTTTGAGAGGAGAGGGAATAGGAGGAGGAGAAAGGGTCCTTCGGGGAGAAAGCAGGGTGCTGGCTGAGAGGCCTGGGATAGGGAAGGAAGTCATGGGGGGGGGGGTCACAGGGTAGCCAGCTTTCAAGTGGCCTGGCAGGGCTGGGCTGTCCATCTGCATGCATCTTCAGCCTCTTATTGCCAAGGAAGCCAAACCTCTGTCGGTTCCACCTCTGAGTAGTTAGTTGAGGGAGCCATTGTTTCCTGATTTGGATCCTCTCATCCCCAGTTGCCCCCAACTCCCTCCATATGTGTCCTGACCTCGGAGAAAGGAGCTAGAAAGAGAAACAGAAGAGAGGAGGGCGGGGCAAGAGAGAGAAGCCTGGAGGTGGAGGGGGAGAACAGGTGAGGAGGAGGAAGAGGGTGGAGGGTGGGGCTCCATCTATAAAGCGAGAACGCCTGCTGGCTAGTGGGCAGGAGAGCTTGCCACATACTCCAGAGGCACCAGGAGCCCCGTAGGCTTTGGTAAGTGTCCCCTCGCTGCAACCGAGACCAGCAGCTGATCTCCCAGGAACCACTTGGCCTGATCCTGTGCTGCCTGCCTCCCTTGCAGAGGGTCCTGGCTTGAGATGGGAGGGGGGTGTGATCCCAGTGCCTGCTGCTGTCCATTTGGTGTCCTTCTTACCCCCCTCCCACCTCCCCTGTTATCCCTCAAGGATCAGGAGGAGGAGAACAAATCTGCACCATGAACTTGTGGCTCCTGGCCTGCCTAATGACCTGCTTCATAGGCACCTGGGCCCCTGCTGTCCAAGCTCAAGGTACTGTCTGGGGCCATACCTACTCTCCTCCCCACAGGTTCCCCCCTTCCCATCCATCCTTCTGTCTGCCTCCCCTCTTCCTTTTGCCTATCCCCTCCTCTAAAAGTCTGAGCTGATTTCCACCATCAGATTCTCTGACAGCTACCCCATCCCCAGGCATGTGGAAACTCCTGGCATCTGTGCAGTCCCTGTAGTGCCTCCACCAAAGCCCATGACCCAAGTCTTTCCTGCAGGGACTCCAGTCAGCCCAGGGAATGTGGGAAGCAGAGGGTGGCTCCCATAGTGGCCTAGCCCCTTGTCACCAGGGACACACTGCAGTGATCTCATCCTGTAGGGCCCCAGAGACTAGCAGGAAAGGGTCCTCTTCCCAGCTTCCCCCAACCCGGGCTAACTGGGTGGTCAGGCTGAGGGTCACTACTCAGCCTTTATGGGCCTCAGTTTCCTCATGTGCAAAGTGGGGCTCCAAATTCCCCCTGTAGAGAGAGGGGCCATGAAGATCCAACGGACTAATGCCTGCAAAACGCTTGGCCCAGTGCCTGCAGCACCAACAGTAATTACTGTTATTATTGGGAAATATCTTCCCTCCTCTCCCTAGATTAGGCACTTGAGGATTTTGGTGACTAAAAGCCAGTTCTGGGCATGCAATACCCCAGGAGAGGAGCCCCACCACGGTGCCCTCCATCGCAGTGGGCCCAGGGGAGGCAACTGAACCCCAGCAGCTGGCAGGGCAGGGTCGAGGTCCACCTGCCCCACCCACCCCTTACTAGTCCCCCAGCAGATCTTAGCCTTTGCCCCAGAGGGGGCTGGGCTTAGTTTCCATTGCCCTGGTATCAGAGGTCTATTCCAGCAGGCAGGCAAGCCCAGGCCCTTTGATCCTGGCCCCCAGCCTGAGGAACTGCTTGCCTGACACTGTGCCCCAGGATCCATTTGACTCCACTGCCCCTTGCTCTCTGGGACCATTCTTGCCCTCTCCTTTACCCCTCCTTCTGGCTTCACTCTGCCAGGGCTTAGTCATGGTCACTCCAAGGGCCAGTAGAGGGACAGATCCCTTGAAGGCCTCTGTACCATCTTTTGCATCAATTCATCCTTTGCTTCCAGACCCTCTGGCACCAGCACCTCCTCCTCTGAGTGCCTCCCCTTCTGAACTTCCCCCTCCCAGCATAGATCAATTTCCTGGTCTTCCTGCTAGGCCAGAACATCCCCGATGACAACACTAGGTCCAATTCCCTTCTGTTTATCCAGGCATTTGGCCCTGAGTAGGAACTCTAAATGCTTTTATTCAACTAAAGGGTAAATGAACAGAGACCTCCCGTTTCTGGTCAGGTGACTCAGAAAGGTGACTCTGATGGGAACAGAGAGGAGGTACCTGAGGTAGACCGAGGTGCGGAAAGGCCAATCTGGAGCAGGAACCAGGACATCAGGAACAGCAGGCCAGCCCACTCATTTTAGGAGGAGGGACCCAGAAGGCAGTGGTGGCCCCTGGCCCCTCCTCAGGGTACTGCATCTGCCCTCCTTGCCCTCTGTCCCAGAGCAGGAGTAGAAATGGCCTTGGTCTCCCATTCATTTTGAGGTCCTGGGCCCTTCCTAGCCAGGGTCTCAGGCCCTCTCCAACCCCTGCCAGCTGTCCCCATATCAAGGACCAAAGGTGAGCCTAATGGCTTCCTTATCACCTGGGCTGTCCCTCAGCCTCCATAGGGCCTGGGACAGTCATGATATGTTTGAGGGCGCCTACATCGGTGGCTGTGCCTGCACACCCAGTGCAAATGCAGCCACACAGATACATAGAAAACTGAGCCTGGCCATGGCTGTGTCACTCAATGGCCTGTGAACCAATTTCAGGTCAAGGGCACATACCTGGGTTGCAGGCACATGCGGGAAAGCAACCAATGTCTCTCAACTTGATGTTTCTCTCCTTGCTTCCTCCCACCCTTCCTCCCTTCCTCCCTCTCCAAAAATCAATGGAAAAAATATCCTCAGGTGGGGATTAACAACAAAAATAAAAATACAAAAAAGAAAAGTGAGCCTGGGTGACTGTGTGATTGCAGGTGTCTTTGAGGACTGCTGCCTGGCTTACCATCCCTACATCAAGCAGACTGTGCTCCGGCGGGCCCATAGTTACCATCACCAGGATGTGAGTGGGAGCTGTAACCTACCCGCTGTGATGTGAGTGGGACAATGGGGGCTACGGTGGGTGGGAGCTCACACATAACTTTGCTTCCCACTTACACATTAACCTTGCACTCCACTCCCACTTGCACAGATTCCACTTCCCTCGCAAGATGGTGTGTGGGAACCCAAAGGCCAAGTGGGTACAAAATGGGATGAGGTTACTGAATCATCGGAAAAAGCATCACCAAGGCACCTCGGGAAACTTCCAAGGTGGGTGAGACCCCAGCCCAGCTGCAGGCTACTGAGCTTCTCAACCCCCAAAGGAGGGGATTGCAGCCTAGTACGCTGACAGCTGCCCACACCCCAAAGAAAGCCAGTTGCTGGGGAGTGGGAGACTGAGTGAATGAGCAATTCTTTTAGTCAAAACACTTTCAATTGCCAGAGTTGGGAAAGTCAAGCAAATGGGAAACTCATCAGTTCAAATGACCAGCTAATGGCTTCAGGCTTGGCTGGATCCAGGTGTTCAAAGGGTATTGATGAATCTATTATCTGTTTCTATTTCCATCTTTCTGACAGGCTCTCACACTATTGGGAAGAAGCTGAGCTCTGGAACCTACAGGGTTCCACACTCCTTGTTTAGAGGTGGCATTGGAAGCAGCAAGAGGAATGCCTCCCTCCCAACAATAGCTAATCCAGGTAAGGACTTGGATCATGTTACCATCTCTGGGCTCATCATGATGAGAGCTCATGATGAGGCCAGATTGGGTCAAGGACTCATCAGCAGGACCAAGGAGGGTTGGTTCGGTGGTCAGCCCCACAGGTTCACATGAGAGTGTCCTAGGTGTCCACAACTGACCCAGCCCAGGAAACTTCAGCTCCATTCCACTCTCTGTCACCTGCCATCCTCTCCAGTCCTCTCCAATCTCTCCTGCAGGACTGTGAGACTGCACATCTCCAGGATCAATCAACTCAAGATGGGCTGGAGTTTCTCCACCGTGACTGTTGCCTTGCAGCACCCCAATTGCTCTATCCTTCAAGCCAACTCTCCAAGCTGTACCCAAGTCTGCATTGGTCTCTCACCCCGCCACCTCCTGCTCCTTAGGCAGCTGTAAGGAGGGAGCCCTTTGTTTTCTTTGAGAACCAGAGCCAGCCCTGGCCAATGGTTCTGATGGACAATCATCAAGGATCACCACCCATTTGCAGTCTTTTGTCACCTACTCTGGGCCACACCTGCCTATGTCCCTCTGGGCCCTTGCAAAGCTCTAGTCCATTCATGGACACCCCTCTTGAGCTGTGCTTTTAAAAATAAACCTTTGGTGGAACATCATTCCTGTCTCTGTCACGTTTCATTATGGAGTGCCAGTCCCAACCTGTGCTGAATTCCACATGATCCCCTCTCACTCCAGGATAGCAGACATCTCTGGGGGGGGGGGGGGGGGGGGCGAGCACTGGATTGCTAGATATAGGACCGGGTGCATGTTCAGCTGGTGACCTTGAGCAAACCGCGCCTCTCTCTTGCTGCCTCCTTCCTGGTTTGTAAAGTGGGGTCACATGCTTGCTTTGCCCAGGTCCCTGGGTTGTCATAACCGGCTCATGGATGAAGCCTCTGTAAGCACTGATGGCTGCCCAGAAGCTCCTGAGAGTTTGGGTGAACCAGACCCCAGCTAGGACAGAGTTCAGGGACTGCTCTGCAGGAGGAGGAAGGGGCAAATTTCAGGGTCCAGGTCACCACTCAAACTCAATGTAACCAAATGTGCTGTCCTCAGGCAGCCATATCCATGACAAAGAATGTTCTGAATGAAAGCAAATGTACCATCTTTAGAGGAGAAGAGGTAGTTTGGGGCCAGGAGCCAGACTTGGAGGAAACTGGGTCACATCCAGGCCTCACTATGCTATTGTGATCCAGGCAGATTCCACAAACTCTCTAAACCTCAGTCCCCCACCCCACCCCATCTATAAAATGTAGTGATAGCACTGCCTGCCTCATACAAGTTTGTGGGGACTAAATATATTCCTATCTGTGTTGTAGACACACACATACTGACTACATGTTAACAGGATGAGAATCTCAGCCATCAAACTCGGTAGATCTGGCCCAACCTAGGGCCAGGCAGGTAGCGGCACAGCTGTCTGACTTTGAACCCAGTTCTGCTGCCTCCAACCTGGAGTCACCTTAGTAAGTTGCTTAACCTCCCCGAGCTTCAGCTTTTCAATCTGCAATATGATTGAAAGGACGAGGATAGCAGTCTCTATTCCATGAGGCTGTAGTAACAAATGGGTCAATAATTGGAAAATATTTAGAATGGTGTCTGATATGTAGTATGTGGTCTGGAAATGTGAGCCATTTTCATCAATATTTTAAAAAATATATTTTTATTGATTTCAGAGAGGAAGGGAGAGAGAGAGAGAGAGAGAGAGAGAGAGAGAGAGAGAGAGAAACATCAATGATGAGAGAGAATCATTGATAGGCTGCCCAGCCATGTGCCCTGACTGGGAATCAAACCCCAACCTCCTGGTTCATAGGTTAATGCTCAACCATGGAGCCACGACAGCCAGGCCATTTTTATCAGTATGGAGTGAACCCATGAGGGCTGAGTTGATGCCAAACACACAAGCCTGAGAATTGGCAGAGCCTATATGTACCCCAGGACTGTGTCTCCAGCCCCAGGTGGAAGGTGTCTCCACCCACCTCTCACCTATATACTTTCTGCTCAGAGCCCTGCACTGTAGCTCACCCCCCACCCCATAGCTTCCGCCCTCCTAGGGTCTCCGATTCTTCATGTAGCCCTTCAGTGTCTACTTACCTCAAGAACGTGCTAAGGAGGCAGACGTAACCCGAAAATAACTATTGTTTTTCCACTTCTGATATAAAGCATCCTTGGAACCTTAGGGGGCATGAACATGGCTGTGTAACACCAGCTCTGGCTGGGGCCCTGTGGGCCCTTCTGCTTGGAGGGATGAGCCCTATGCCCACCTCTGGTGCAGTGCAGAAGTTTAGCCTGAGATTGACCAGATACAGTGAATCACAGGGCCCTGCTTGACCCTAATGTGGGAGGTGGAGGTGCAGGCCACAACTTCCAGTTGTCTCCAGGAAAGACTGCTGGGGAGAGACTCATCTCGCCTGAGGTAATAACGTAGCATGTCACTCTTCCTGAGTTTCGGGGTTCCACCTGGTCAGCCATTGCAACCAGGGATGGATTCTCAACAGTTCCAAAATATCCTGTCTCTGGAGAGGAGGAGGCATGGAGGCCTTAGTAAGGCCCCAGCTCGTCACCAGGGTCTCCCTGCAGTGTGTAGCGAGCAGAGTTTCATCAGTTTTCCCCAAAACCCACAGAATGAGGCTGGGGCTGGGTGGTGCCCAGGCGGCGAGTGTGGACAGGGGGCTGCAGGAGGGGCCTGGGACCAGGCTATAGTAGCTGTAGCCAAACCTTCAGCCGCAAGGCCTGGACCCTTGGCCCTGGCTGTCCCTCTGCCCAAATGCACCAGGGGCCTGCCATGCTCACCACCTCCAGCTGGTAGGTTCCAGGCTCTCGCCTCTGACGCCGCAGCTGCAGGGACCTGCGACCACAGAGGTGATGCATGCGGAAGAAGCTGATTATTGCTGGGGACAATAACATAGTGGACCTGGCCTCTTAAACTCTCCATCACTGGCTGCAGCTCCAGGATGTGCTCGGCCCAGCCTAGGCATGAGAGGTTCAAGTCCAAGGTCAGCAGGATCTCCACAGCAAAGCTGGCTAGGCTCACCTGGGGAGAAAAAACCAAGTGGATGATGGTTAGAGGCTGGCAGAACAGGAATGCGGTAAATAGGGGACCATGGAGTCATGGCCAAGGGTAGATTTTAGCCAATCTCTAAGGAGGAAGAAAACACAGAACAGCCTCTGTCCTAGCCCTCCATCCACAAGGTCAATGGACAGCACATGGGCTATAGATGGAGGCTTGAAATAAGAGGCTGGTTCTCAGATGGAAAGCAAAGAGGGAAGGTAGGCAACCAATTTTACACACTTACTCCAGACCCCGAATCTCAGTAGAGGGGCTTTCGTGAGATTCCTGCCAGTCTGGCAGAGGGGATTGAGGATATGACCTAAGAGTCCTATATAAGACTCAGACAGCATCAGATCCCAAAGGTGGATGGGGTGGCTGGAATTATGACCAAGGGCCTTGTAGCAGAAGCCAGCCTAAGAGAGGATGCCAGACCCAACACAGTGAGAGAAACACAAGATCTGGCTGGACTAGAGAGGAGTTGCCAGATAGCTTTCCGGTTCCTGGAGGCCCGCTGCACTTTCTGCATCTGGGCTTTTTGAGAGCCCTCTGTGTGCAGATGACAAACTCTGCTTTATCTGAGCTCCTGTGAGTGTGTTCCTGGTCCTGGCAGCCAGATAGGGCTCTGAGTAAGTCAGCCAGCCGCAATGGCAGACTAACCAGGGCTGAATGCCATATCCAATCACACAGGAGGTTAACTGTTTTCTTCTCCTTTGCTCTGGGCAATGCTGTGTTTGTTTTGCCTAATTGATATGCTGCTGGGGTGTTTTGCTGTTGCATTAAAAGTGAAAGCTGTTCCTGTTTCCTAACCCCTGAGTTCTGGAGATTTCAGTCCTTCCCATTAAGTGTTGCAGACATGTGCTCCTACCAGCACCTACTGGCAGTCTGTGGGTATTGCAGGCAAAGTCACAGAACCCAAACACCCTTCTGAGAGGATCAAGGGCTGATGACACAGTGGCAAACCCTACAGACACATGGCCCTGCCCTTGCAAAGCTTACAGAAAATAATGGTAACAATGGGATAACATATACAGTTGCTTTTTTTTCCAGCAAGAGGTTAAAAAAAAACAAAAGGGAAAAAACAGGGCAAAATAATCCACTCATATTTAATCTAATATTAAAAGCCCCTCAGATCCAATTCCTATCCTAGTTCTGCCTTCATTGTTTTCCCCGCATTTATCATGTATCATAATTTATCATGTGTTATACAATACAATGTTTTACTTGTTTCTTATCTGTCTCCCTATTTTTAGAGTATCAGCCCCATGGGGGCAGAGACTTTTTTTGCTGTTTACTGTTGCTCCATTACAGTTCCCAGTGCACAGTAAGTGTTCAGAAAAATCTTTGGAGTGAAGAAGTTTGGTCCCAGATGTGGGTAATGGCCTCTGTGCTCAATGATTTTTTGAAATAACATAAAGTGATGGTCTCAGAGGGTAGTGACTGCAGAGGGGCCTAGGATGCCTGGTCGTGAAGACCAAGGCTGCTTGTAAAGAAAAGGCCATGTGATATTGCTCTGGAATCCCCTGCTCTGCCACTGTTAGGTTCTGCAATGTGAGCAGATCTGCAATGTGACCTAACTTCTTTGTGCCTCAGTTTCCTCATTGGTAAAATGGGGATAGTGGCATCTCCACCTCTCAAGACTGTTGTAAACATTGAGAGGCCATGAATGCAGAGTGCTTGGAGTAGTGTGTGCATCCAGCAGGCACTTAATAAATGTTTAGCTTCAGATCCTTTGGGGGATGGTGGCAAGGCTGGCCAGCAGTGGCCTCAGGGACAAAAATCACTGTTCTACACAACCTGGGATCGGGGTTATGGCTGGAGTGGCCCCAGAGGACAAGAGGGACAAAGCTACAGGTGCTCTGCTGTCCCTGAGAGTATGGGGATGATTTCTAGAGCTGAGGTGGGCTCAAGAGTCCCAAGCATCAAAGATGCAGGAAAGAGGTACAGAGGAGGAGGGTCTGAAGGGGGAGAGGAGAGGAGTGATGGAGGACCACTAGCCTATGAATGAACAAAGGGATTAAGCTGGTTACTCTGGGCCCCATTGGTGCTAAATTCAGAGGAGCTCTGAGGGAAGGTTTTGCCAGCAAAGAGGTGAGGGGTGACAAGTTCTGGGGTGCAAATAAGGTTGGGGGGCATCCAAGTGCCATGGAAGGGATCATGAGGGGCAACACGCCTGGCCAGAGTCTATGTGGGAGGTACCTGACTCATTACCAAGAGTGAAGTGGGGTGCTTGTGGGGCTTGTTTACCCCAGAGAGCCCAAGGGAAATCCAGGAGCTGAGGAAGTGCAGGAAGGCCTAGGCAGGTACCACAACGCTGGGACAAGCTGGACAGTCTGGTGTTTCCACCTTTGGCACATCCTCCGACTGTCCCCGCCACTGACTGTACTGCCACACCTAGTGCATTCTCCATGGCACCTGGTGGTCCCTGTGCATGCTGTGCTATGGCTGGGGAGGCCCTTGATCTTACACTCAGAGCAGGCTTAGGTGAGAGCAGCTCTCCTCATCCAGAGTGTCCTGAGATCTGGGGCTGAAGCTCAGGCTGAAGACACAGTGCCTACGCCAGGATGGAGGTGGAGGCAGCAGGCCTCCCCTGCCACCCCCATAATTCATCTGTAGCCATACCGTCCCTGGGCGCAAGTGGTGTCATGCAAA